CCCCCCCCCATATCAGTTAGAAATGGAAAGGAGGATCTCTCTAACTGCCTTGGGATGGTCTCTCTCTCTCTCATACCTGGAATAAAATGTTTTTTGGTCTTAAACACAAGACTCTCTCCCCCATACCTGGAATAAAACATTTTTTGGTCTTAAACACTGGACTCTCTTTCTTTTTCTTGTCTGCTCCCTCTGGATCCTTCCCTCCCTCCCTCTCTCTCTCTGAAGAAAAAGTGTGCTTATACCTGGAATAAAACTTTGCTGGTCTTCTTAAAAGTCCCATGAGAAGCCATCCCCCCTCCCCCGGCTCTTTACCCTCACCCTCCCTTCCCAAAGGAGGAGGGGAGGGAGAGGGGGGAAGAGCCCTCAGCCAATTGAGGGAAGGCTTTCTTTCTCTCCTCTGAAGCAGGAACTAGGAGAGACTGGCCAGAAGGAGCTGCAATGTTAGAAACAGTAAGCAGCACAGAGCCAGCTGTTCTCGGGCCAGATTGCAGCCCTGCGTGGGCCACATCCGGGCCACGGACCATATCTTTGACACCCCCAGCTTATACACTTAATGCTAATCTCTGCCCCTGAAATTGGTGTTATGGTGGTCTGTTGCATACCCCCCCAAAGCCTACCTGAGCTCATGCTCACCAGGTAACAGATACCTGGATCTAAATTAACAAGCAATCTGTGGTGGTTTGGTGTAGGGGGCATGACTTTTAACTTGAAGTAAAATCTCTTAAGAGACACAGTATCTGGGTAGCAGGTTACCAAACAAGCACACCTTTAACTATCAACCTGCTGGTGGCAGCAAAACGGAATCCTAACTAGTGTCAGGGGTGGTGGAACGAAGCTGCAGAACTGAATTCCTCAGTAAGGTCTAGCAGCTTGAGACGTGGGTCAGCTGAGTCAGTGCAACACATCCCCCGTGGTAGAAGCAGGTGCTGGTAGGGCCTGTTGTGCTAGAGGCTGTCTGGAAATCTGGGGGAGCCATGCCTTAACAGAATGATCAAAAGCAAACATCTAAGTAGCACCTGTTAGCTTAAGCAGCTTCCAGGAGGTAGGGAGAGGAGACGTGCCAAGAAGTCCTGCTGCAACTAGCCAGGACTGTGGTGTTCACTCAAGCCTTCGCTGATCGTTTGTGGTTACTCTGTCCTGAAGGAAAGGCACTGCGAGTGACCGTTCGCGCATGCCTGCTGAAGCAAACAGTAAACCTGCCCCACAGAAGGTGGGATTCCTGACTTGTTCCAGTCCAAGTGACCGAAAAGAGGGAAATCCCAGAGGAGCTGAGGAGCAAGCGCATGGGCACCCGGCTCAGGCTTTCCTGTGCCGGCAGGACCAAAAACAAGATGTGAGCATGGTGATCTCCTTCTGCCTTACTCCTCTTCAGGAACCATAACCTGATTTCGCACTCATAAGAACATCAGAGAAGCCAATGCTGGATCAGGCCAATGGCCCATCTAGTCCAACACTCTATGTCACACAGTGGCCAACCAGGTGCCATCAGGAGGTCCAGCAGTGGGGCCAGGACACTAGAAGCCCTCCCACTGCCCCCCCCCCCAAGCACCAAGAATACAGAACATTCTTTGCCCCAACCTGTGAGTTCCTATCTATACCTTGTGGCTAATAGCCACTGATGAACATGAGAACATAAGAGGAGCCAATGTTGGATCAGGCCAATGGCCCATCTAGTCCAACACTCTGTCACACAGTGGCCAACCAGGTGCCATCAGGAGGCCCAGCAGTGGGGCCAGGACACTAGAAGCCCTCCCACTGTTGCCCCCCCCCCAAGCACCAAGAATACAGTGCATCCCTTGCCCCAACCTGTGAGTTCCTATCTATACCTTGTGGCTAATAGCCACTGATGAACATAAGAGAAGCCAATGTTGGATCAGGCCAAAGGCGCATCTAGTCCAACACTCTGTCACACCGTGGCCAAAAATACCAGGAGCCATCAGGAGGTCCAGCAGTGGGGTCAGAACTCCCAAAACCCTCACACTGTTGCCCCCCCTCCCACCTAAAGCACCAAGAATACAGAGCATCCCTTGCCCCAGACCAAGAGTTCCTATAAATACCTTGTGACTAATAGCCACTGATGGGCCATATGCTTATCTCCCTCTTGAAGCCGTCCATGCTTGTAGCCGCCGCCACCTCCTGTGCCGCTGAACTGAATGGCCGGCCGCCTCGTATTCCCGAGTGGACGAGGTAAATAAAACAACATGTTGCACGCCCTTTATTCCAGGATGGGGTATCACTTGCACGTGCATTATCTAACTATTCGTGTAGGTGGGTCGTATCTGTTCTACGTGTGCTCAGCCCTCAAAAGGAATTGGATGCAGCGTTACAGAGCCAAACTCATCAAATCTCTACTGGGATTGCTTAAGGCGCTGTCTTTAAAGATCTCTCTTTATGAATACCTCCTGAAAGTTGGCACATCTGTAAAAGCAGTGGATTGGCCCGGGGGAAGATTCTCTCTCAGCCTCCCGCTTCACAGGGTCCTGGAGCGGATAGCACAGGGATAACCTCTCATCTAGAAGCCCTGAGCTCCCCGGAGGAAGGGCGAGACACCAAAATGTAATAAAAGTTTTGTACGTCTTCCAAATTAAAAACCAGAAATGGCACCAATTGTACAAATTAAAAGTCAGTGTGTTTCCTGTGCATTTTGGGATGTCTTTGATTTATTTGTCTGCTTAATAGTGCACGTGAATCCCAAATATACAAATTCCACTAGTAGAAAACACCATCAAAGATTGCCAAAACAATATATTAAACAGTTATGAAGTTGGTGGTGTCACAACAACATTAATGAATACTGTAACTATAATGAGGCATAAGGCATAGTGTAACCTTGTGGTCTGTTGAAATTGCTGAAATCAAGTTCCACTTACACGGCCGGCAAACTGAAGAAGTCGAAGGAAACGCATCTTCCAAGTATCTGGAATGGGCGTCTTTGCAAAGGCTGTTTGGAAAATGTTATGACTATGTGGACTCCTCCTATCAAGTTACACTGACTACATGGACTTTATGTCTTGTCTTCAAAGGGGGAAATATTGCATCTTATGCCTTATTATAGTTACAATATGCATTAATGTTGCTGTGACACCACCAACTTTATAATGGTTTAATACATTGTTTTGGCAATCTTTGATGGTGTTTTCTACTAGTGGAATTTGTATATTTGGGATTCTTGTGACACTAGTCTTTTCCCCTGGTTGTTTGGATTTAATAGTACACTTGAACTATGGTGCTGGAGGAGACCCTTGAGAGTCCCTTGGACTGCAAGAAGATCAAATCAGTCAATCCTAAAAGAAATCAACCCTGACTGTTCCCTGGAAGGCCAGATAATGAAACTGAAGCTCAAATACTTTGGCTACCAAACGAGAAGGGAGCACTCACTGGAGAAGACCCTGATGCTGGGCAAGATTGAAGGTCAAAGAAGACGGGGACGGCAAAGGATGAGATGGTTAGACAGTGTCATAGAGGCAACGAACATGAAGTTGAGCAAACTCCAGAGGACGGCGGAAGACCGGAAGGCCTGGCGTGATCTGGTCCATGGGGTCGCGAAGAGTCGGACTCGACTGTGCGACTGAACAACAACAAGTACAATTGGGCACATTAGGCCGCTTTATACCGAATCAGGCCATCAATCCATCAGTGTCGTAGTCTACTCAGACTGGTAGTAGCTCTCCAGAGTCTCAGGTCTTTCACATCACCTCGTCCCATCTGATCATTTTAACGGGAGGTGCTGGGGACTGAGCCTGGGATCGCCTTCATGCCAAGCAGACGCTCTGCCATTGTGTTAAATACGGGGTTCCATGGGTGGTCCAACCCTGAGCATAGTGATCAGCTCTCCTTTATTAGTGATTCGGCAAGAACGAAAAGCCAAAAGCCAGGGCAACGGCCCTGTTTAAATAGCACGCAACTCCACCCACTTCCCACAAACAGCTACCAACGATAGGCCATTGTCAGAACCATTAATTCCTCATTGGCCACCTCCAGAGTCCTGTTGGGCTATTGTTCTAGAGCTCCAAGCTCAGCCAGTCTCCGGTAGAAACAGTCCTGGAATGTTCCAGTCCCAGCACATAACACACTGAGTCACAGCCGCTCCCCAGCGATGAACACATGAAGCCGCCTTATACTGAAATCAGACCGTCAGCCCATTAAAGTCAGTGTCGTCTACTCAGACTGGCGGCAGCAGCAGCGGGCTGCTCTGATTATTTCATCTGAACTTAGAGACCCAGGCAGCTCTCTATGAAACTGAACGGTAAACAAACTCCCTCTTTGAAGTGAGTTTACGGAGGAGTTCAAAATGACTCTTTACACTTGATTTCAAGAAGGAAGGAACAGCTAAACAAACAGTGTCAGGGCATGCACAGTTTTCCAAGGTGGTCCTTTACGAAAAATGTGTTAACCGTGTCAAAAGCGTCAAAGTTATTGAAACGAACAATTAATTAGGACTTAGAAAACAACCTCAGGATGTCATTCACCTCAGCAGATGGTGGAAGAACCTTCTCGCGTATCTGCTGACGGGATCCCTGTATCCCAACACTGTTGTCTCCGAGAGGGGTCTCGCCGGTGCGTAAAAGGCTCCAAGGCTTGCCTCCAGCTGAGCTGCGGAGTTCAAACAAAGCGGCGTTGAAACAAAATGGGACAGCCAAGCTTACAAGAAGCTGGTCTTGTTTTGCAATCTGTCAGGTTTCTTAAAACACAGACAAAGTGCGAACTTATTGCCGGGAAGATGAATTAAAAAGCTGACAGGGAGCATAAAAGCAACCCTTAACTTGCAAACGGTCGTTTGTACGATTACTGCAAACAACAAAAGGACGGGGGCGGGGGGGGGAGAAGCTGCCAGAAGATAAAGTACATAAACCATTCTCTTTATAATTATTTGCGTGTGGAATGTTTGACTCATCAGTATGACGGAGTTTGAATGAGCAATTGTCAACTCCCCATTTAAAGGGTTTTGCCTTTCCTAACAACATCGGGGTTTTTAAAAAAATGGTTCTTATGTTGTGCCACCAGTCACCAGGTGAAAAGCCCTGCACGGATGGGATCCTAGAAGGGATTTTCGGTGCCAGTCTAAGGAGTATTGACAACAATGGGAGCATTTTTTCTTCTCTCAGAATGACTCAGAAACATTCCAGGAAATGGAACACTACACTAGGAGTCCCCAGTGTAATGCCCGTGGGCAACCTGGCACCTGCCGACACCTTTTCCAATGCCCACCAACTGTTTTTAGGAACTGGGTGGAGCCTGATAGCGCTTTTGCCAAGCAAGGCTTCTGACTACTGGAGATTTGATTCGCTGTGCAGATTTTTTAAAATGTTGCTGTAATTATTCCATTTTTGGTGTGTGTGTTTCTTTAAATGTTTAGTGTGACTGCAGTACTGTAAGGAGAGTGATAGAGGGGACAAGTGTGATGTGACTGGCTGATGACTGAGAGTGTGGGAGGAGGGGTGTCTATGAGAGGATTTTGTGTGTGAAGTTTGAAGAGAGAAGATTGTGTGACTATGGGAGTTTCTGAGTCCATTCTGTGTGAATAAGACAAAGAGTTCAGCTTGTGTGTCCATATATATATATATATGAGAGAGAGAGAGAGAGAGAGAGAGAGAGAGAGAGAGAGAGAGAGAGAGAGAGAGAGAATAGAGTGAGTGTCTACACCTGTGAGAGGGGAGTTTTGGGAGTTTGAGAGACTGTTTGTGACCAAGCTTTGCCAGTTATATTTACAAGTTCCTTTCATCAGCAACACTTCAAAATAACCAGAATCCTATTTTGTTCTTTATTAAATCATTTTTTTGTTTAAACTTATCCCAGCAATCAGAATAATCCTTCCTCAGGGCCACATAGTCCTCCGAAATGCCCAGACCTGGGTCATTCCACCAAAAGAGAGAGATTTGGAATTTTTAATTCCTGGTGGCAGCAGAAATCTACCAAGTTTAGGTACACAGAAAGTGTTTTAAAAGGAGAAAACATCTCCCCAATAAGCAAGGATGTCAGAGTTGCTTCAGCGGCAGCCGCCACCTCAGCACAAGGATCTGCATGGTATTACCAAAGTAAAGCTGTGGTAGACATTTTCTGGCTGGCTCCACTTCCTGCAGTGCCCATTGTGTTGCTGTGCCCACCACGCTGTGTCAAAATTTGAAACGTGCCCGCAAACTTCAAAAGGTTGGGGACCCCTGCCCTACTAATATTGTCTACAAGAGTCGAGGTTTGCTCCTTCCAGATGTGTTTCTGCCCTCTTCCTCCTCTGCTATACCTCCTTCTCAAAGTTTAAAAACCATGGTTGCATAAGACGGATTTGGTTGTTCAGAAGTATTTTTAATATATGAATTTAAGAGATCCCCAAGTCTACAACTGCAGCCCCTGGAAGAAAGAACTCTGTGAAACATTTAGTAAAGGTTTCCCTTGCTCGAAAGCCAGTCAAATCCTACTCTAGGGGGTGGTGCTCATCTCGGTTTCCAAGCCGAAGAGCCAGTGCTGTCCAAAGACTTTTCCGTGGTCATCTGGAGCCAGAAAGGAGCCCTTTCCACACCCATAAAACTCGCTTGCCAAGTCACAACCAGTGGGCTTTAAGTGATCAAGAGATGGAGACAACAATATGTTTTGGTAAAGGGCTAATCTTATTATATGATTTGTTGGATTAAGAAGACACTGCCAATGGTGTTCACATCCATTTCAACTTTTTCTGTCTTTAGCAATAATTACCTCCTAGTTCTAAGTAGGGTTACATTTTATTTCATTTGATTTCTGATAACGAATACTCTAGTAGTTCAACACCGTGAGCACAGACAACCTGCTAGTAAATTAGGTTTTACACTATCTTGAATCTAGATGGTAAGATAAGCTGAACTTTCAAGGTGTTTCCTTTTAAAGGCATCTGCCAATTTCGATTAGAATTTCACAAGCCACGCTCTCTGGCAGTTGCCATTTTCCTTATGTCATATTTCGCACTCCTGAAATGCTTCGGCCTACATGGAATACAAGCAAGAACTAGCAGTTCCAGATCCGTTTGATAGCCCCGCCTGATGCTGACGATGGCAGAAATGAAGATGTCAGACGATAGCCATCGGATCGTTACCAAAGAAAGGACTCTCTGGGTTCTTCTAATTTAAAAATTTACCATGACGGCTTTGTTAGAATAGAATAGATCCTGGATGGCATAAAACACCTTCCCTATTGGGAAACAGCATCAGCCAGATTGCATGTGGGGAGACACGTACACAATATCCATTTATTTAAAAAAACAAAACAAAGCCCAACAACATTATTTTTAAACAAAGTTTCACAAAACCTGCCTATGACAGGGAGGGCAGGATAAAAATTGAATAAATAAATAAATAAATAAATAAATTTTTAAAAAGCCTTCCACTCCCCCTCCCGCCATTCTTCCGCTTTCCCACTGGGTATTTTCAGACTTTTCCAAGATGAGATTTTTGACCTTGTCTATGGGTACAGGCTCCTGCCAACCTAGCAGTTCGAAAGCAAGAAATTGCAAGTAGATAAATAGGTACCACTTCGATGGGAAGGTAACAGCGTTCCGCGCGCCTCGGTGTTTAGTCATGCCGGCCACATGACCACGGAAACTTCTTCGGACAGCGCTGGCTCTTCGGCTTTGAAACGGAGATGAGCACCGCAACCCTAGAGTCGGATTCGACTGGCTTTCGAGCAAGGGAACCTTTACCCCTTTACCTTTATGGGTACAGGAGGGGTTGTGGAAATGAGCCTTGCCTCTCCCTCTCTAGGGCCGGGCTTGCCTCAGACGGACGGCCCGGGGGCAGGTTTGTAAAGCAGGCAATTTTCCCTAAGGACTGTTGTTCACGATACCCTCCAGTGCACTTTCTTCTCGCCACAAAAGGGGGGCTCAGTGCCCAGCTGTAATTCTATGCTGAGACATGACATGCAGCTTTCCCTGTTTAATCCCCCCTCCCAAGAAATCTAAATCCTGGGAACAGCTCAAGTTCTAACCCAACACGCACGATTCGATGGTCAGTTGGCAGGACCTGACCAAAGCTGTTAATGACAGGACATTTTGGAGGTCAAACATTTCGTGGGTCGCCATAAGTTGGAAGTGACTTGATGGTACATAACACACACACATCAAACAAACCTTCTCTCTCGGGCGTCAGCTTTTGCCTGAGAAGATGGTTCACTATGGCAGTAAGGCTCACGTAGCATTGATGGCCCATCGTGTTCCAGTTCATGCTGCTCAGGATATTAATCGCTTCATACATCTCATCTTGATGAATATACTCCTGGACGACTTCAACAAGGCCAAGATGGCCTTTTGGGAAAACACCTGTCATGGGGGGGGGGGGACAAAGTAGCATAAAATTATACTTCCAACCAGGGCTCTTTTTATAGAAAAAGCCCAGCAGGAACTCATTAGCATAATAGGCCACACCCATCAGCAGAAACTCATTAGCATATTGGGCCATACCCCCGACAGCACAGCTCATTAGCGCATTAGGCCGCACCCCCATGTTACCAGAAGTGTGGTTATCCAGCCACACCCACTTTTTGCTTGTTATTCTGTTTACCTTGTTTGTTGCCAAAACCCAGGGCTTTTTTTGTAGCAGGAACCCCTTTGCATGTTAGGCCACACACCCCTAATGTAGCCAATCCTAATGAGTTCCTGCTGTTGGGTGTGGCCTATCATGCTAATGAGTTCCTGCTGGGCGTGGTCAACTTGGGAGCCAGCCGGAACTCCATTCCTGTGCGTTCCTGCCCAAAAATAGCCCTGCTTCCAACACTTTCTAACACTTTTTAAACTTCATGGCTCCTGGTTACAAAATGAAATTTATAAAAAGCTGGAGACTTTGGGCTTTTCCACTTCTGTTTGTTCTATCGGTGGTTCTAGACCCATACCACTTTGGTTTATCCCGATTTCCACATGGATCTCTGTGTCTTTAGTTTTCAGTTGTTTGTCTTTGAGGCCAGTTTTCTGCCCCCTATTAGCAGTGCCGCTGGTTTTTGACAGCATTCTGGGATGTTGGTTGTCGGGTGCCAAATGATCATGCTGATGCCTGACCTAGGATGATAGATTCAGGTGGGGTCGCCATGTTGGTCAGAAGCAGCAGAACAAAGTTTGAGTGAAGTGGGCACCTTTGAGACCAACAAAGTTTTATTCAAAGTGTAAGCTTTCATTTTCGGTAGCAGCTCCTACCTGGTGGGACGAGCTCCCAGAGGAGATCCGGGCCCTGCGGGACCTTATGCAGTTCCGCAGGGACTGTAAGACAGAGCTCTTCCACCAGGCGTTTGAGTAGGAGCCGCTGCCGCCGCCACTATCCTACCTACGAGATAGTATGTCATCGGCTGCCCTACGAAGGTGGGACAGTTATGCCCAGGCTGAAGTTTGACAGCTTAGCGGGGAGACCGCGTACTGGTAATGGCTGGCCACCAAGTTGGAAGATCGTCTCCACCTTGATTGATGATGTAGTGTTTTAGGTTGCTTACTGTAGTTAATTATTGTATTTTATTGTGTGTTTTATTGTATTTTAGATTCCGGCTTTGCCACTTGTGAACCGCCCTGAGCCTTTGGAAGGGCGGTATAGAAATCTAATAAATAAATAAATAAATACATAAATACATAAATAAATAAATGTGCAAAACAGTTTTACACATGAAAGCTTACACTTTGAATAAAACTTTGTTGGTCTCAAAGGTGCCCACTTCACTCAAACTTTATTCTCAAGCTTTGTTCTTGACCTCGGATGGCAATTTATGGATTGTAATTTAATGTTTTGTAAGTATCTTCTGTCTCTATTCATAGATTGTTTTACTGAATGTTGTGAGCTGCCCCGAGCCCTGTAACCCAAGGGAAGGGCAGAGTAGAAGTCTAAAACAAAACAAAATAAATAAAAACAAATGGCTAGCCTAGAGAGAACTTTATATTGCATCTTACCTACTGAACTAGCCGGAGAAACAATCTCTCAAGCGCAGAACCGATTTGATGGAAACGTACGAGACAAATTTTTTAAAAATGTGATAACTTTTAACAGTTGAGGTCAACATCTTCCCGTTTGGGTGCTTGACTTCTCTTGGGTGGTGCGCTTCCAAGTGACCCGCTTTGGCGGGAGAGGTGACAGCCAACTCGTTGCCTAATTGATTTGGGAACAGTGCCCAGGGAGACAGTCCAATTAAGCTTACAAGCCCGGCAATTAGCAGAAAGGCCTCTAAATCCCTGCACTGAGAGTCTGTTTGTCTCGGTAAGAACATAAATGTGCTAGAGATAGGAAAGGGAAAGCTGCGCTTGCTGGAAGGCTGCTGTGAGCAGAAGCCACAAGGGAGAACCGAAGAAAAGCAAGGTAGATGTAGGCAGAGGGCCTTCTGTTTGACAGGTAACTGGGTAATTTAGAAATAGACATCACGCAAGAGCACATCAAAGAAAGCTGCTTTAATTAGCATTCCGCGTAGATGTCTACAGCTGTTAAAACACACAGCTGGACAAGATGGAGCTCATAGTAGTGACTGTATACAAGCTCCCCTCCCCATTTCAGACTTTCTTGAGTAACAAAGACAATTTCTTTCCAAAAGAACATAAATGTAAGTTTCTCCCCCTATGGCTATTTTGTCAGTTCTGACCCCGGATTGCTTCAGTTTATCCCTGATTTCCATATAGATTTTTGTCAGGTTAGTTTTCGCTTAATTTTTAAAAATATTTTCCCAGTTCTTTTGAGACCACTTTGACCTCCATATTTGTTTTCTGAAGGTTGATTTTGGTCTCCTTTCCCCTCGCTTCTAATGTTTGTCAGTTTTCTTTGTCCCTCCTACTCCCACCCACCTCCAGCCCACTTTTTCGAAGACTGAACTGTCATTATCACCAAACTACTCCCTCTCCTCCTCCCCACCCTGAAGGAGAGTGGTTTCATTGTTTATATTAAAAAAGCAATAAAATATCAATATGCCAATATAACATAATAGTAGATTTACCAGTTTCCCTGAATTCCCATCTTTCACTAAAAAATAAATAAATCTCTAGCCCCCTCCCTTGTGGAGATATGCCCTTTTCCTTATATCTCTATGAGGAGAGCGCTAGAGACTTACTTGAAAAATTAAAGAAAGCTGGGGATTCAGAGAACCTGCTTAACCTATTATCACAATGGTACAACGATATATCGATATTTTACTGCCTTTTTAAAAAATGCAGCCATGATACCAATCTATCGACATAATCATGGGTAAAAAAAATAAGAGGTGCATGTGCTGTGATGGCACCAATGATGACAGCACCCTTCCTTGAAAATCTTGATTTTTTAAAGGCACATACAGAAGAAAATGAACTGTGAAAATTCAAAGGGAGGGCAGATGTGCAGAACCATCCCCAAACTAATCCCAGTGCTTGTGGATCAACTGCCAAGAAGGTCAGCTGTAAGTCGAGCGTACAGAAAAGCCCTAATAGGACGCGTTCAGACGGGCCATTTGACCTGGTATACCTGCCGGTTAGAAATTGACTATTTATGCGCGATCACACAGCCAACATCTGCCTCCCATCCCTAGCCGTTGCCAACCGGCTCAAAACTGCTTTAACTCAGAGTATTTTGCTACCAGGTGGTCCCCAAGTGGTGTTTTCCTGCTGCTCTGGTTCCAGCCGCATTTCTCCACTGTGTGATCGCTCCTCCGCCGGTGTAGAGCCACTTCCTGTTCCCTGCTTGAAAGCTGCCCGAGGCTTCTGCTTTTCGCCCGCCATTTAATTATTTTTTTTTTTAGCGTTGGCGATATGCGCTTGGGCGGAGCTTCGCCCTGGTGTTAATAAAACCAAAGTTCAAATTATGCCTAGTTTTAGCCTTTAGATGAGTCCGGGACCTCACAGAGGCCAGTTTCAGTTTAGAAGTTTAAAGGGAAGTGTTCGCTTCAGGGCATGCTTTGGCAGGATACATTGTTCTGCGCACGCGCAAACTGTGAATTTTTTTTAAAAAAACGCTGACGCGTGCTCCTGCACGCCTGTAGCGTGGACGCCCGGGAGCAATGTGCTGTGCGGTGAGAGAGGTACGTGTGACCGCGCTTGTCCCAGATCAAATATAGTCCGGGCAGAACCGGAGCAGTTTAAACCGCCATCTGACTGCACCCATATTGTAATCCTAAGCAGGTTTACTCGGAATCCAACTGAAGTCTCCTCAGTGGGAATGGCTCCCAGGAAAGTGTTCTTAGGACCAGTGTTCCCTCTAAGCTGAGTTAGAGTGAGCTAGCTCATAGTTTTTTAGCGTCCGGCTCACACATTTTTGTCTTGGCTCAGGAAGGAGGGCTCCAGAGCAAACTAATGTATGCAGTAGCCAAATCTCTCGCTCACAACTTTAATGCCAGTAGCTCACAAAGTAGAATTTTTGCTCATGAGACTCCACAGCTTAGAGGGAACATTGCTTAGGACTGTACTGTAAATCTTACAACTGCACTTGCTTGTGCATTACACTACTAGTTGGAGCTGGTAGAGTGGTTAGGATGTTGGACTAGAACCTGGGAGGCTCAGGTTTGAATCCCTGCTCTGTCATGGACGCTCGCTGGGTGACCTTGAGCCAGTCACAGTCTCCCAGCCTAGTCTACCTCACAGGGTTATTGTGAGGCTACAGTAAGGAGAGGAGAATGATGTAAGCCACTCCCCTTTGGGGAGGAGGGTGGGGTATAAACAAAGTAAATAAAATAAATAACGTAATGGGCAGAATTATTAACTCAATAAATATTCAACCAGTCAAGTGAACAATGCTTTTAATTCCCTTACTTCTGTTCCTTTTATCTTTTTTATTTATTCTTTTTGCTATTTTTACAGTATTACCTTATTACACTTACCTGGATACAACAGGGCTTCCGGGTAAATCTACGTAGGACTGCGCTTTTATTATGATAGAAGAAGGCTCGGAGTTTCACACTGCCACTTCCCCAAGGGGTTTAGGGGAGGGTACATTTTACCCCCCCCCCCACTCACCATTTAATCTACACAACAACCATGTGAGACACATTAAACTAAGACTGGCGAGAGACTGGTAAAAGGGCAACTTTGTGGCAGAATGGGGATTTGAACCTGGGTCTTCCTGTCCTAGTTAATTTCCACCACAGTGATTCACTGCAGTATGAATTAGCTGGAGAAGAGAAAAAACATTTCCATTGCTGGTATAGCATAGTGGATAGAGTGATGGAATGGAATCCTGGGAGACCTGGGTCCAAATCCCGATTTCTACCATGGAAGCTGCTAGGTGATCTTGGGCCCATCAAAAACTCTCAGCCTGGCCTACCTCACAGGGTGGTTTTGTGAGAAGAACACAATAACAGTGTTCTGAGCTGCTTTGAGTCCTGAACGGGGAGAAAATTGGGACACGAATAAATATATGCAAATGAAGAATGCATCGTGATGTAAGGAACAATGCATTAATTAACTTACCAGTTTTGAAACGAAGCCCTCCAATGGGTCCTTTGTCAAACCTAAGTAACAGAAGATCATGTACGTCGACCCCATCCGTGCTTTGAGCTGAGACTTGAGGGGCAGCCCACTGGATTTGGACAAGACTGCTGGATATATCAAAATGTTCACTGAACTGCAGTGTGGCTTTGGCTGAGAAGTCTTCCGCTAGAAGTTGCATTTTAAGGGGGGACAGTGCCATGTCAAACAGCTGTAGCTCCCCTTGTGAACTGCCCACGAGTATTAGAGCTCCACTGGGATGGCAGCACATTAAGGAAGGCAACACGTCTGCCTCTGCAATGAGAGTTACTTGGCGGTAGGATTCGTACAGGACGACTGACGAATCTTCACATCCCAGGACGAGTTTGTCTTCTGTGTGGTTCCTGCAGCAGCTGATGGCCTTGGATCTTAGTGGTATTTTGGTGACTGCCACACACTGAACTTTATTCCTAACATATTCATAGATGCAACTGTCGGCCATGGGGTCTTGGTCCGTGCTGAGCGAATGTTCCACGGTATGAACCTGATAAGGCTGGCTGAGGCTAAAACCTGCGTCAAGCGGATCTCCGTCTGTACGAACGTAACTCAGAATCTGAAATGCAACCCAACGGTGTTAGAAATCGCACAGTCCCGTGTTAAATAGGTTGAAATACTGGCTGGTAATAAATTCTTCGAAATAAAAATTCTTATTATTAGCTTTATTATGAAAGCACTGCCCTCAAGGGAAGCAGCAGCACAAATGTAAAGTAATAGCATTCTCCGTTGTCTACCGGTCCTTTTCAGTGTTAAATTTGCATTATCTTTGCTAAATTATATGATCTGTGGAAGGCTGTTCACCAACAAGCTATAGTCCATTAAAACACTGGGAAATCAGAATGTAATAAATATGTTCTCCAGTAATACAAGGAGCGATCAATTCAGTATTTTCACTCCTAATCATGCTATTTTGGTGAAAATCATTGAGTGTAATATTGCCGGCCAAGAACTATTTATTCAGAGGGCTATAGACTCTGATAGCCTGAGAAAATCATTCTTTATTTGACTTGTGTCTCTGCTCAACCCCTTGGTCGTCCAAAACAAATAAGACTGAGGTGTCTTTCACGTTGCCTTAAAAATCCACTTGCATGAGCCAATGTTAGGGTGGGTTTTTTCCTATGTTCAGGCGTCACAAACATCCCACTGCTGTCTCATATCTTCTTCATTTTCCCCCCATTCCAAATAAAACTGGTTTCTCCCACACTTTTCCCCCAAAGCGAAATGGATTCGCCCAAAGCCTCTGTTTATAATCTGAACTAAGTTTTTCACAATGGTGACTTCCAGCACAACCCACCTGCACAAAAGGGGTGGGTGGGTTTGGGGGTTGTTTTTTAATTTGCATCCCAGAGGAGAAGCGTTTCAACGACAGAAGATGCCTGTGCTAAAACAAGCAAGCATTCACCTTGAGGACACCTTCCTGAGTGTGTGTTTGTGTGTGTCTGTCTGGGGGCATGTGTGGGCATGTGCCTGGTCTCCTCTCTCTGCCTCTCTTCCTCTTCCTCTGCACCCTGAGAAAGCTGGGATCATGTCCTCCTTTTGCTTTACACTCTCATATAAGATCCACCAGATTGTCTCTTGACCCTTCGCACCTTCCTCCCCAGTAGGGAAAACCCTTCTTTTTGTTACATTCTTTTTGTGTTTTCTGTTTAAAAATGTCAGGGGCCAAGTGATTGAGCAAATAAATTATCCTTTCTGCTTCAGAGTTGCTGTTTGAGAGCCTCCCGTGATTGACACAACAGTAAATGTACTGAAGCCAATGAGGCTACTCTCATGTAAAGTTGCATGTAAGGATTTTGCACACACACCCATTCCAAGGAAGAGAGGCCCAGCAAACGAGGCTGCTGAAACGCTCAAACGTTTCAGCGCCTGTGCAAAAAAAAAAAAAAGCCTACCTCCCACCCCAGGACAGAGGGAACCCATGAGGGGAAGTCTGAATTGATCCCACCAATTAGTGCAATCATTAGAAGTAGCACAACACGCATGAAAATGCAAAAGGCGGCTACAGTCTGAAAAACCCCTGTATTGAGCTGAAAATGAATAAACCAGTTCCTAATGAATGTAGGGGTTTCTGACTCAGTTCTGACACATCAGGACCAATGCTCCCTCTAAGCTGTGGGGTCTCGTGAGCAAAAATTCTACTTTGCGAGCGACTGGCATTAATGTTGTGAGTAATTGATTTGGCTGCTGCATAAATCAGTTTGCTTTGGAGCCATCTTTTCTGAGCTAAGATGAAAAAGTGTGAGACGGAGGCTAAAAAACTGTGAGCTAGCTCACACTAACTCAGCTTAGAGGAAACATTGATCAGGACCAGTGTTCCCTCTAAGCTGAGTTAGTGTGAGCAAGCTCACAGTTTTTTAGCCTCCGGCTCACACTTTTTCATCTTAGCTCAGGAAGGGGGGCTCCAGAGTAAACTAATTTATGCAGCAGCCCAATCGCTTGCTCACAACTTTAATGCCAGCAGCTCACAAAGTAGAATTTTTGCTCACAAGAGTCCACAGCTTAGAGGGAGCATTGATCAGAACATGAAACTGCATAACCAAGATCACCTTAGTAAATACACAGGCAGTTTGTGTTCAAATCAGGATTATAACAACCTGGAATTGGCCCGGCATGGTAAGCAAGGTCTAAAACACCCTGGGAGTTCCTGTTCATGTAAACAGGGTTCACGATTTCAAAACAAACTACGGTAGGACAACACGGGAGAACCAAACAAATATAGGCGCGGTAACCCATAAGAGAAAATACAAGTATTGGTCTCAAGCTATTATAGAAAATGTGCAGTGGATGCCATGTAGTACAGCAAAAGCAACAGGAGGGGGGGAAATAATCATGTTACTGAAGACTGTCATGGTCTCTGATTATTTGTCAAAAATACTCCCACCAAAACCCTACTACTATTAATTGGTCCCAAGAAAGAAAACTATTGGAGGCATACTGCAGTAGATAATAAGTAACGCATCAGTTGGGACATTCCTCTAGGAGAGGACATAAAATGCAATAAAATAAATCATGAAAAGAGGAAGGGGGCTATGGAAAGTTCTGGTGGGAGTTTGGGGGGGGGGAAGTGTAGGCAAAACATTGCCCGGAGATCAAACCTGATGAGTTCAATAGCTGAGGTTGAATGACGGCACTCATTCTTTAAGAACTGGACTAAGGGCACAAAATGTACTGCAAACCCCTTGAGTCCTTGTGAAGCAGAAAGGAAGCTAATAAGTGTTTTACATGAATTAATGAATAAATAAATATTGCACAGAATATTGTGATACGGTATAATGGGGGGGGGGGGAAAGGTTTCGCTTCATGCCTGCTCCCATTTCAGGATAGGATTGCCAGATCAAAATGAGGAACGCCTAAAAACTACTGGGTCTGCCTGATGGAGCTGGGGATGGACTGGCCTTGCATCTTACTAAGTTCTCGGTGGGCCGTTGCCCTGGCAGCACCACAGGGGCCTCTAAGTTTGGACCCAGCCAAAGCAACAAGAATGGTGAACCTAACTTACTTCCCTGAGCCGGGCTAGTCATATCTTGGAAGCTAAGCAGGGTCGGCCTCGCTTAGTACTCGGATGGGAGACTACCAGGGTTGCTAGGCAGAGGCAGGCAGTGGCCAACCACCGCTGGACGCCTCTTGCCTTGAGCACCCTACAGGGTCGCCATAAGTTGGCTGTGACTTGACAGCAATTTTCACCACCGCCACCCTACCACCGCTGCTGCTGCTGGGCGGGGGTGTGTGTGTGTCCAAGCTAAGCTGGCCTCACTGCAGGCTCGGCTTGCTTGAGGGCTGCTTTACCGATCCCCCATCCACCCATGAATGGAGCTTGATTATTCTGAAATAAAGCTAGGCACTATTTACTTTATTTTTCGGATTTTTATTCCACCCTCCCCGAAGCGGGCTCAGGGCGGATCACAACAAGCAGGGTCAAAGACTCATTACAGTAAAATTACACTGCATTAAAATCATTAAAGCAGTAAAATTCAGAGGTAGCAGCAAATTACAAAAAAAGAAAAAAGACTGTTAGGGTCGTATAGGTGGAATCAGGGCATTTCAGTAGACTGGGAATGTGACGAAAGGTAGGAAAGCAAGCTGTACTCTCTAATCATGTTTTATTTTGGGTTTTTGGGGGTATTTTTTTTAAATGTGTGTGTGCGTGCACCTGGGAGTCACAGGGACCTCTGGTGAGAGGCCCCTACTAGGGGACTGGAGGATATTCAGAGAGGTGGCTGAGTAAAGCCTGCCCCCATCTCCCACCTCTGGTATTACAAGGAGGTCTTCCTTCCAACTACTTACCAGAGTCGACCCTGCTTAACTTCCGAGATCTGACAAGATTGGGCTTGCCTGGGCTATCCAGGTCAGGGTTGCTGATCATGATTTATTGTCCCTATTGACACTGAGCTACCTGTGTGAGATCCACTGAGGAAGTTGTAGCTCTTGTCTGTCAGCACTGGGAAGGAACATGTTTCTTTGCCAAACTATTGCCAAACTACTGAATTGTCCAATTCTAGATCAAGACCAAAAACCAATAAGATAAGAACATAAGAACATAAGAGATGCCAATGTTGGATCATGCCAAAGGCCCATCCAGTCCAACACTCTGTATCACACAGTGGCCAGAAATACCAGTGCCATCAGGAGGTCCACCCGTGGGGCCAGGACATTAGAAGCCCTCCCACTGTTGACCCCCCCCAAGCACCAAGAAGACAGAGCATCACTTGCCCCAGAGTCCCTATCTATACCTTGTGGCTAATAGCCACTGATGGACCTCTGCTCCATATGCTTATCTAATTCCCTTTTGAAGCCGTCCATGCTTGCTGTGAGTGACATGGGAAAAGATCTTGGGGTCATAGTCAATAGCTCAATAGAAGTGTCAACCCAGAGTGCTGCAGGCATGAAAAAGGCAAGCTCTGTGTTAGCGATTATTAGGACAGGGATTGAGAACAAAACGTCCAACATTGTAACATCCCTGTATAGACCTATGGTATGGCCTCATTCGGATTACTGTGTACAGTTCTGGTCACCGTATCTCAAACGGGACATTGCAGAGCTGGGAAAAGTACCGAAGAGGGCAACGAAGATGCTTAGGGGGATGGGGGTTGGAGTACCTTCCCTAGGAGGAAAGGCTGACGAATCTGGGACTTTCCAGTTTAGAAAAGAGACAACTGGGGGGGGGGGGGATATGATAGAGGCTTATAAAATTGTGCATGGGGTAGAGAGAGTTGACAAGGAGAAATTATCCCCCTCTCCCAAAATACTAGAACTCGAGGGCATCCAATGAAGTTGAGGAGCAGTAGGTTCAGGATGGACAAAAGGAAATACCATTTTACACAGAGAGTGATTCAAATGTGGGATTCGATGCCAGAGGATGTAGCGATGGTCACAGGAATAAACAGGATCAGACAGATTCCTGGAGGATAAGTCTATCAATGGCTACTAGTCATGGTGACTGAGGGGAACCTCCACATTCAGAGGCACTAACCCTTTGGATCCCAGAGCCAGGAGGCAACATCAGAAGAAGGCCTCGGCTTCCATGCCCTGTTGCTGGCCCTCCAGAGGAACTAGTTGAGGCCGCTGTGTGAGACAGGATGCTGGACTAGATGGACCACTGGTCTGATCCAGCAGGGCTCTTCTTATGTTCTTATGAAGGCCTCGGCCTCTCTGCCACATTGCTGTCCTTCCAGAGGAACTGGTTGGCCACTGTGTGAGACAGGATGCTGGACTAGGTGAACTATTGGTGTGATCCAGCAGTGCTATTCTTGTATTCTTATGAAGGCCTCAGCCTCTCTGCCCTGTTGTTGGCCCTCCAGAGGAACTGGTTGGCCACTGTGTGAGACAGGGTGCTGGACTAGATGCAGTACTGGTCTGATCCAGCAGGGCTCTTCCTATGTTCTTAACCTCCCCAAGGAGGTGCGCCTGGGTCCCTCACTTTCATTCTTTAGGAGGCAGCTGAAGACTGATTTATTTAGGACAACATTTGATTAAGTTTACTAGTGGTCCTGATGGGTGATTTAAAATTTTTGGATTTTATGTGCTTAATGGATGTGTTTTACCTATGTTGTAAAGCTGCCTTGAGCTCTGTAAGGAACAAAGGTGGCTAAAAATGTTTTCAGTAAATCAAGTAAAATAAATAAAACAAGCTTTTGCATTTTAGTGGTCTCATCTAGCTAACCAGCAGAGGCAAAAGACATTTTATGTAGTCTTAGCCCAGAGCAAAACCAAAAACGGAACTGTCAGTTTAACTAATTTTTGCCATTAGAGTATTCCCACGCGTACCGTATATATGCTTATGTTTGGGGTGCAGAATAATCAGCCCAACTCTTATTTCAGTGAGAGGCTTCCTCTTTGCTGCACACTTTCAAGCTCATAAATAATTGCATCCTTTGCGTAACAGTACAGAGGAGGCGAGGATAAAGCCCCCATACTGAAGGAAATGAGAGTTTTAAACAGTGGATTTTTAAGCAGAAAATTGGCTTACTGGGAAGATTAAAAAAAAAGGGAAATAAAGGGAACATAAAAATAATCCCTCTGTGGCTGAATTGTCTGTCTCTCAGATGAGAATAAAATGTTTGATTCATTTCATGGATGCTACAAAAACTGTTAGTTTAATTTCATACCCTGCAACTGGAAGTGAAACAAACTAATTAGAAATGCTAAGTGAGGATTTTCAGTGCACTGGCGGGGGGGGGTGGGGGGGGAGACGCGAGAGCATACTATAGCAATACTTTCAGGAAGAAATTAAACATTTGTTTTTCCCATTTTTACAAATGGAAGGTTCTTCTTGCAAGTTCCTCGCTTGTGGGCTGCGTTCCTTTTTCCGCCGGTTGTCTTAATCAGCGACGTTCCTCTCTGCCCTCTATTTTTACTTTCCTTGAAATTTATCACTATAATTTTTTTCTCAGCTATTAACTGAGTGTTAGTCTGATGTGACAAAAAAAAAGAGAGAGCGAGTTCTTGTCTTACAGGACTTTTAATGTATTCCCGCAGTCACCAACGTACGTTTCCTTCTGAATAATTCTAACAGGGACGGGATTTCTGACTAACCAAAAGGTCAAGTTTGAGATACAGCAGATCAGAGGCAAATCAGCAATTAAGGTAACTGTGTCTGAGGTGGAAAAAGTAATATAACATTTTCTCCCAGGCAAATTACTTTTTTCTCCTTCAAGAGAAGGAAAGTAATTTCAATTATTCTAAAAAGCAGCAAAAAAAAGAGAAAAAAATAAACACGGTAACACCGCAGCATTGGTTTTTAAAAATCTGAATAAGCTTTTAGTATAAAATATTTAATGAAGTCTGTGATGCACTGTATTCTTGGTGCTTGGGGGGGGCAACAGTGGGAGGGCTTCTGGTGTCCTGGCCCCACTGCTGGACCTCCTGATGGCCCCTGTTATTTTTGGCCACTGTGTGACAGAGTGTTGGACTGGATGGGCCATTGGCCTGATCCAACATGGGCCTCTCTTCTGCTCTTATGTTCTTAAGGTTACCAAGTCGGATACCACTGTGGCAGGCCATTTCTATCAACTGAGGGGACCCACACAGCCTCCTATGATTTGGGGGGGAACCAGGTTTATTTTCAACTATAAACCTTCCCCTCAGTTACCAGGTCTTCTAAAGGTAGCGAGTGTCTAGGCTTTGGGTTCACTGCTCTGAGTTACGTTTTGTGGTGAATATGGAGGCCCCTGAGGCAGGAATGATATATTAACCACAAAGATTTCTTTATTTACTAGTAGGTTTCAAGGAACAGGTCAGCAGCACAAGATTCCAGACAGACAAAAGAGAAACCCGGCTGAGGCACATTAGGGAGTAGTTTAAATTTCCTTTACTACTTCCAAGCATAGACAGGCTTTTACCGACTAGCCACTTTCTCTCTCACACACAGGCTGCCACCCACAACAGCCTGCCCTCTCCCAAGAGTCAGACTAAATGGCACGAGGTCTGCTCATTGCCAGAGACAACAGGGCTAACAACTGGGTCCTCTATGCTCTGTCAGGAGAAGAAGAAGAGATTGGATTTATACCCGCCCTTCACTACCCAAGGGAGTCTCAGGGCTGCTTACAATCTCCTTCCCCTCCCCCTCCCCAACAGACACCCTGTGAGGTAGGTGGGGCCGAGAGAGCTCTTTCCAGAACTGCCCTTGAGAGAACAGCTCCGAGAGAACTCGTGACTGACCCAAGGTCACGCCAGCAGCTGCATGTGGAGGGGTGGGGAATCAAACCCGGTTCTCCCAGATTAGAGTCCGCGCACTTAACCACTGCAACAAACTGGCTCTCAGGAGAGTTAAACCACCCCGCCACACCACCAAGCAGAGCTACCCTTCACTCTGTCTGCTCTTTCTTGGATCCAGACCGTAGCTGTCCCTGATCGGCAGAACTGAACTGCCCTGCTGCTGTGTTTCCCCTCCAACGTTCCACCCCCTTCTCAAAGGTGACTGGATGCTGGAGGAACACTTCTATAGGCTCAAGTGAGTGGCAGGTTTTCCCTTCAGGGGCGGGACAGCTTTCTGCCCATCACAACCACTGATCATTTCTGCTAACAGAGAAGCACCTCCCCTAGCAGAAAGGAACGCCCCTGACTCTCTGCTCCTGGCTGTAGCCCATCGAGCTCCTCCAAAACGCTGCTCTTGGGGGACAGGAGACCCTCAGGAATAACCCTCAGGAATTTGGGGCTCCGAAACAAGAAAGTCCCCCTCCTTCTATTAGTGAAAAAAAAATCATTTGGGATGCAACTCAGTATTTTCAGATACGACGGCCAACAGCATGTTGCTCGAAACTGAAACCAGTAAGATCCGCCGTAGCCCATTACCTCCCAGTTGCCATGTTCCCATTTCAAAAGCAGCAAGTTGGCTCTCTCTCGCTCGCTGCAGACTGGAGACCAGGACCATGCTTCGTCGTTGGCCAGAGACCACCAGCAAATGACCATGTCCTGTATCCTGTTTATTGCTAGACGATGCTTCAGTCTTCTATTCCCAGGCCCTGGTATGTCGAGGTAAGATATCTGCGGGAAAGATTGAAACTGCGGAATCAATACTTTGGAGTTAACTGAGCTTAGGTACTACACAGTAAAATGAATTTGCGCAGAGGCCATGAATCCCCGTGATTTCGGAAATTGCTCCAGTGGAAGCTCTGCTGTGTTCCGGCACATCCCACATCTGACGGCAGCAGCATCGTTTCCTAGATGAATGATAAGTTCTATCCCCCTAAAGTCTTTGGACCCTGACTCGGATGGCCCGGGCTAGCCATATCTCATCAGATCTCGGAAGCTAAGCAGAGCTGGCCCCGGTGACTCTTTGGATGGGAGACCACCCAAGAAATCCGGGGCTGCTACGCAGAGGCAGGCAAAGGCAAATCACCTCTGCTGTGACCTGGATGGGCCAGGCTAACTGGATCTCATCAGATCTCGGAAGCTAAGCAGGGCCGGCCCTGGTCAGTATTTGGGTGGGAGGCCACCAAGGAAGACCAGGGTTGCTATGCAGAGGCAGGCCATGGCAAACCACCCTTGAGCATCTCTTGTTTTGAAAACTCTACGGGGGTTGCCACGTCAGCTGCAACTTGATGGCACTTTCCACCACCAGAATCTTTGGTTTGCTGCACAGAATGGAGAAGCAGGAACCCCACAGCACCCGTACAGTTCAATACTAGACTGAGATCGGGAACCCTTCAGCGACATGGATTTCAAAACGTCTAGTCCTCCTTTCCCCCCACTAGATGGGCCCCAAAACAGCAACAGCACACAAATTAGAGAAATACCTAAACAACATTAAATGACACAATCCCTGTCTTCAGTCAGCAAAATCCTTACAAAACAGACTGAAATGGCTCTGAATGGAATGCCTTAAAGCAGGACTCTTTTTGTAGAAAAAGCCCAGCAGGAACTCATTAGCATAATAGGCCACACCCCCGACAGTACAGCTCATTAGCGTATTCGGCCACACCCCATGCCTTTCCTTGGTTTGCCCGGGAACCCTGTGGCTGCGGGGAGCCCGGGCAAGCCGACCCTTGGACAGGACCCCAGCCCCCCTGCCTCAAGAGTCGCCGGGGGGGTCACTCCCCAGGCCTTCCCTCTGTAGCCACGCACGCAGAGGTCTTGGCTGTAGTGGGCGTGGCCAACTCTGAAGCCAGCCAGAACTCCGTTCCTCTGCATTACTGCCCAAAAATAGCCCTGCTTGTGAGCAAAAACTCTACTTTGTGAGCTACTTGCATTAAAGTTGTGAGTGACCCATTTGGCTACTGCATAAATTAATTTATTCTGGAGCCATCCTTCCTGAGCAAAGATAAAAATGTACCAAAATAGCACTGCCTTAAAGTACCACCTGCAGGCTTCGCTAAGAACTGAAGTGGTGGAAATGCTCCCGACCTTTAGAGGGAGCTCATTCTGGAAAGCTGGAATTATTACAAAGCAATCCCCAGAAAAGGAAGTAGCTGTTCCCGAGAGATGATGTGGCAAGCACGTTTTGAGAACAGAGCATTCCTAGAGCATGGGGAAGAGATCGAGGGTTTTGAACTATGCCCAGAAACTGACAGGTGACTGATGTGGCTGTCTCAAAATTGGTGTTAGGGTGTTCCAGTCAGTTCCTTCCAGCCAAAAGGTGGGCTGTGGCTCAGTGGTAGAGCATCTGCTTGGCACACAGGAGGACCCAGGTTCAGCCCCCAGCATCTCTAGTAAGAATAAGCTTGTCAGTGATGTGAAAGACCTCGGCCTGAGACCCTGGCGAGCTGCTGCGAGTTCAAGTAGACAATACTCCGTAGCGCCTGCAAGACAGAGCTCTTCCACCAGGCTTTCAACTAGGAGCAGCCACCACTAGCACTATGGCCAGTATTACCATCTACGATTATTAATACCATCACTTAATAACAACAGAAGCCTGGTGCCTGGTCTATTACTGTGCCCGCCGACCAAGACTGAGAAAGACCAACGAGCTGAATATCAATTGAAGCTACAGAATGTACGAGGCCATCTTTGATATTATAAGCGGACTGCTAGCACTTCCAACGTAATGTAAGTTAGTTTTAATGAACTGCTATTGAATTGTTTGCTGAATTGTTTTTCGATGTCTACGATTTTATTGTTATGGTGCTTTGACCATGTCAGCCGCCCTGAGGCTGCCTTGGCGGGAAGGGCGGGGTACAAATTCCAATAAATAAATAATAATAAATAAATGAATAAATACTTCGGTGGACCGATGGTCTGATTCAGTGTAAGGCAGCTTCATGTGTGTTCAGTTGTCTACAAGGGCAGATGTGTGGACAGCAAGTTACACTACCCACGTCTTGAGATTACAGTAGACTGGATTGCCGTAGCTAGATCGGCTGAGACAGGAAGGGGCGAAAGCCTCCGTGCCAACGGAACCTGGTGAAAACTTTTCCCGACGACGCTTGCCTGTTTCCCCCCAATCAACAGGGAAGGAACGAAGAAGATACCCAGCCTCTTGACTCGTTCGGCCAATGAAAGGCTCATGTCATCCAACTCTGTAGAAGCTATCCCTTGCCTTGCCAGCCAGTATCACCTCCGTTTTACCTGGAATGAGTGTTAGGATGTTTATCTATGTCCTCTGCCGGGACTGAGGTATGGAAAATGGAGCCGATGTAAGAGGGACCTGGAAAAATGTGCATCTTCCAGTTCATGCTGCATCTGGTAACAGTGTGATGTCAAACTTTTCATGAAGAT